GAAGAAGCATCGAAGCTTACAAGGCTAAGTTGACCACGACCCGGCCCCATAGGCAGTCAGAGGAGGCGAGGGAGTCCGGGACAACTAATAGACCACAAAGGATGTCTCCTCTTTGAAGAGTCCTCTACCAAAAGCAGCGTGGTGTATGGTCGATAATATGGTAAATCGTTGGAGCTATCAGGAAAAGAAGCGGTATTTTTTACACATCGATAATCGTTCGACAGTCCAACTCCGAATAGTATCGTGACAAATGTGAGAAATGTGAACATGTTCTCAATCTCGTAGTTTGTATTCCTTTGTGGTTATTCGTGCGCGCCTTGCGCCGATGCATTGCGGTAAACTGCCAACAACGGCAAACGCCCTCGGCCTCACCCCTCTTCGAGGAGACTGTGATCCCCTGCCGATCTTTGAAGACCAAGACCCTTCTTTGTTGGAAGGTCAACGACGGCATCTCAACGAAATGTCTGCCAATCTGATTCAGAATATGAGTCTCGAGAAGGCATCCGCCGCTGACATTCGTCGGGCCCGTAATTTGACACTTCTCAGTGAGCTTTATGAGGAGGCTGCTGTCGCCTACTATGATGGTGACAAGAAGAAGTTACTCGATTTGATTGCTACTGCTGAAGATCTAGTCGGCAGCGGTTCCCTGTATGACCGACAGCCAAGCGATGATATTGTTACTGTGGATTCAATGAGGGTCCTTACTGAGGCGGATCACTGAGGATGACGCTACGTTATACACAGCTCTCGACGTACACATCCTAGTTGCATCCTTTCTTGGGCTCTCTCATTCCTCCTATTCTTCTGATACTGTATCCTGTATTGTCGCGAACTCTGAGAAGCTCGCAATAGTCTGGTCAATGCAGCAATGCTGGCCAGAGTAAATTATCTCCTTCCTTCTCTTTCTCTGTCTCTTGGTTGCCCATTACTACGAATCGTGGTGGCGACGCATCGCCTTAGTAGCCGTTTCCAATAACGAGTAGTCATTGTTGTCCTTCCTCTGTAAGGGCTCAAGTATTCCAGCGAGTCATAATCATAAAACGCTGGGAGCTTCGATAATCTGTTGGTGTGAAGTGAC